GAGTTGTAGAATTTCTTTATATATCTTGGATATGAACCTCTTATCGGATATATCATTTGCATATCACTTCTCCCACTCAGTGGGTTGCCTTTTTGTTTTGTTGATGGATTCCTTTGCTATGCAAAAGCTTTTTAGTTTGATGTAGTTTCAATAGTTTATTTTTGATTTTGGTCCCCTTGCCTGAAGAGACATATCTAGAAAAACATTGCTAAGGCAGATGTCAAAGAAATTACTGCCTGTTTTCTTCTAGGATTTTTATGGCTTCATGTCTCACATTGAGGTCTTTAATGCATTTGAGTTTATTTTTGTGTGTGCTGTGAAAAAGTGGTCCAGGTTCATTCTTTTGCATGTAGCTGTACAGGTTTCCCAGCACCATTTATTCAAAAGACCGTCTTTTCCCCATTGTGTATTCTTGCCTCCTTTCTTGAGATTCATTGACCATAAAAGCATTTTTTTTGTGTGTGGGCTCTCTATTCTGTTTCACTGGTCTATGTGTCTGCTTTCGTGCTGGTACAATATTGTTGTGGTCACTACAGCTTTGTAGTATATCTTGAAATCTGGAGCTGTGAAACTTTCAGCTTTGTTCTCTTTTCTCAAGATCGCTTTTGCTATTTGGGTTTTTTTGTGGTTCCATATGAATTTTAGGACTATTTGCTTTGGTTCTGTGAAAAATGCTGTTGGTATTTTGATCAGGATTGCATTGAATCTGTAGATTGCATTGGGTGGTACTGGCATTTTGACAATATTAATTCTTCCAATCCATTAGCATGGGATATCTTTCCATTTGTTTATATCATCTTCAGTTTCTTTCATCAGGGCTTTATGGTTTTCAGAGTACAGGTCTTTTACCTTCTTGGTTAAGTTTATTCCTAGATATTTTCTTGTTTGGGGTACAAATGTAAATGAAATTGTTTTCATAATTTCTACTTCTGCTACTTCATTATGAGTGTATGAAAACACAACCAATTTCTGTGTTTTAATTTTGTATCCTGCAGGTTTATTGAATTCATTTATTCTTTTTTTTTTTTTTTAAGATTTTATTTACTGGGCGCCTGGGTGGCTCAGTTGGTTAAGCGACTGCCTTCGGCTCAGGTCATGATCCTGGAGTCCCAGGATCGAGTCCCGCATCGGACTCCTTGCTCAGCAGGGAGTCTGCTTCTCCCTCTGACCCTCCCCCCTCTCATGCTCTCTCTATCTCATTCTCTCTCAAATAAATAAATAAAATCTTTAAAAAAAAAGATTTTATTTATTTATTTGATAGAGAGAGAGACAGAGAGAGGGAACACAAGGAGGGGGAATGGGAGAGGGAGAAGCAGGCCTCCCGCCAAGCAGGGAGCCCAATGCGGAGCTCAATCCCAGGACCCTGAGATCATGACCTGAACTGAAGGCAGACACTTAACGAATGAGCCACCCAGGCACCCCTGAATTCATTTATTCTAATAGTTTTCTGGTGGAGTCTAGGTTTTCTGTATATTAGTATCATGTCATATGCAAATAGTGACAGTTATACTTCTTCCTTGCCAATTTGAATGCCTCTTATTTCTTTTTCTTGTCTGATTGCCACAGCTTGGACTTTGAGTACTATATCAGATAAAATTAGTGAGGGTGAACATCCTTGTCTTGTTCCTGATCTTAGAGGAAAAGCTCTAAGTTTTCACTATTGAGTGTGATGTTAGCTGTGGGTTTGTTATATGTGGCCTTTATTATGTTGAGGTGTGTTCCTTCTAAACTTACTTTGTTGAGAGCTTTTATCATGAACAGATGTTGAATTTTGTCAAGTGCTTTTTCTGTATCTATTGAGATGATCATAGGATTTTCATCCTTGGTTCTCTTGGTGTGTTGTATCATGTTGATTGATTTGAAAATTGAACTATCTTTGCATCCCCAGAATAAATTCCACTTGATCGTGGTGAAAGATACCCTTTTAATATATTGTTGAATGTGGTTTGTTAATAATATTTTGCTGAGGATTTTTGCATCTATGTTCATCAGGGATATTGGCTTGTAGTTTTCTATTTTTTTAGTGTCTTTGGCTTTGGTATCAGAGTAATGCTGGCTTCATAGAATGTATTTGGAAGCTTTCCTTCTATTGTGTGTGTGTGTGTGTGTGTGTGTGTAATAGTTTGAGGAGAATATATATTAACTCTCCTTTAAATGTTTAGTAGAATTCACCTGTGGATCCATTTGGTCCTGGATTTTTGTTGTTGTTGGGAGTTTTTGATAACTAATTCAATTTCATTACTAGTAACCAGTCTGTTCAGATTTTCTGTTTCTTCCTAATTTGGTTTTGGGAGATTGTATGTTTCTGGGAATTTATCCATTTCTTCTAGGATGTCCAGTTTGTTAGCATATAATTTTTCAGAGTAGTCTCTTAATTCTTTGTATTTCTGTGGTGTCAGTTGTTACCTCCCCTTTCATTTCTGATTTTATTTGTGTCCTCTCCCTTTTTTTTTTTTTTTTTTGATGAATTTGGCTAAAGGTTTATCAATTTTGTTTATCTTTTCAAAGAAGTGGCTCTTGGTTTCGTTGATCATTTCTTTCGGTTTTGTGTTTATTTGCTTGTCTCTATTTCCTGTGTTTCAGCTGTGATCTTTATTATTTCTTTCCTTCTACTAACTTTGGGTTTTGTTTGTTCTCCCTTTTCTCATTCCTTTAGGTGTGAGGTTAGATTGTTTGAGATTTTTCTTGTTTCCTGAGGTAGGCCTGTATCAGTATAAATTTTCCTCTTAGAACTGATTTCACTGTGTCCCAACGATTTTGGACTGTTGTGTTTTCATTTTCCTTTTTCACCAGCTATTTTTAAATTTCCTCTTTGATTTCTTCATTGGCTGTTTAGTAGCATATTGTTTAGCCTCCATGTATTTGTGCTTGTTTTTTTCCTTGTGATTCATTATGCTGTCTGAAAAGATGCATAGGATTTTAATCTTCTTAAGTTTATTTAGACTTGCTTTGTGGCCCAACATGTGACCTACCCTGGAGAACGTTTCATGTGCACTTGAAAAGAATGTGTATTCTACTGGGTTTAGATGGAATGTTCTGTATATATCTCTGTTAAGGCCTTCTGGTCTCATGTGTCTTTCAAAGACACTGTTTCCTCACTGATTTTCTGTCTGGATGATCTATCCATTGAAGTGAGTGGAGTGTTATAGTCCCCTACTATTATTGTATTACTGTCAGTTTCTCCCTTTTATGTCTGTTAACATTTCTTTTAGGTACTTAGGTGCTCCAATGTTGGGGGCATAGAGATTTACAATTGTTATACCTTCTTGTTGAACTGATCTCTCTTTTTTTTTTTTTAAGATTTTATTTATTTTTTTGACAGAGACACAGCGAGAGAGGGAATACAAGCAAGGGGAGTGGGAGAGGGAGAAGCAGGCTTCCCATGGAGCAGGGAGCCTGATGTGGGGCTCAATCCCAGGACCCTGGGATCATGACCCGAGCCAAAGGCAGATGCCCAACTACTGAGCCACCCAGGCACCCCTGAACTGATCTCTTTATCATTATGTAATAATGCCCTTATTTGTCTCTTGTTACAGTTTTTGTTTCAAAGTAATTTTGTCTGATTTAAGTATTGCTACATTGACTCCTGCCACCCATCCACTTCCAATTGCATGCTATATCTCTTTCCATGCATTCTCTTTGTCTCTATGTGTTTTTAGTTCTGAAGTGAATCCTTATAGGCAACATATATATGGGTCTTTTTTTTTTTTAAGATTTTATTTATTTATTTGACAGAGTGGGAGAGAGAGCACACAAGCAGGGGGATCAGCAGGCAGAGGGAGAAGCAGGCTCCCCGCTGAGCAAGGAGCCCGACGTGGAACTCTATCTCAGGATCCTGGGATCATGACCTGAGCCAAAGGCAGATGCTTAACCGACTGAGCCACCCAGGCATCCCTGGTCTTTTTTTTTTTTTTTTTTTTTTTAATCCATTCAGTCACCCTATGCCTTTTCATTGGAGCACTTAGTCCTTTTACATGTAATTATTGATAAGTATGTACTTATTGCTGTTTTGTTCATTGTGTTGGTTATTTTTGTAGGTATTTTCTGTTCCTTTCTTCTTCTCTTGCTCTCTTTCCTTGTAGTTTGATGGCTTTCTTTAATGTTATGCTTGCATTCCTTTCTCTTTTGTGTGTGTGTATCCATTATTACATGGTTTGCTTTGTGGTTATCATTTCATTCATATAATGTCTCATGTGTCCAGCAATTATATATTAAGTTGATGGTCACTTAAGTTCAAGCACATTCTAAAAGTACTAAATTTTTATCCCCCCCTCCACTTTTTATGCTTATGATATCATATTCTGCATTTTTATTTTGTGTATCCCTTGAATGAATTTTGTAGAAATAATTGATTTTACTACTTTTTGTTTTAACATCCATACTGGCTTTATAAGTGATTTATCTGCAACTATATGCTTGTTTTTACCAGTGAAATGTTTTCCTTTCAAATTTTCTTCTAGTTATGGCCTTTTTTTTCCAGTCAAAGAATTCCCTTTAATGTTTCTTATCAGGATGTTTTAGTGATGATGTATTCCTTTAGCTTTTGTTTGTCTGGGAAGTTCTTTATCTCTCCTATTCTAAGTGATGACCTGCTGGATAGAGTATTCTTGGTTATAGGTTTTTTTTTCCTTTCAGGGCTTTGTAGGCCTGAGGGATCAGCATGACATATTAAAAGTTTCGGCTAAAAAAAAACAACAACAAAAAAAACCCAGCTGATAGCTTTATGGGGTTTCTCTTGTATATAACATTTTTTTTTCCTTGCTGCTTTTGAAATTCTCTCTTTATCATTACTTTTTGCCATTTAAATTATTATGTGTGTTGGTGTGGACCTCCTGGGTTCATCTTGTATGGGGCTCTCTGATTCCTGGACCTGGATGTCTGTCTCCTTCCCCACATTTAGGGAGGTTTTCAGCTATTATTTCTTTGAGTAAATTATCTAAAGATTTTTTTTTTTTTTTTTTTTTTTTTGAGAGAGAGAGAGAGCACAAGTGGTGGGGAGGGGCAGAGGGGGTGAAGGAGGCTCCCTGCTGAGCAGTGAGCTCAACACAGGGCTTGATCCCAGGACTCCAGGATCATGACTTGAGCTGAAGGCAGACGTTTAACCAACTGAGCCACCCAGGTGCCTCTCTTCAAGTAAATTTTCTGCCCCCTTCTCTCATTCTTCTCCTTCTGGGATCCCTATAATGCAAATGTTATTAGGGTTGATGATGTTGGTGAGTTCCCTTAACCTATACTCATTTTTTATTTTTTATTTTTTTTCTATTCAGCTTGGTTGCTTTCCTCACCGTCTTCTGGATCACTGATCTGTTTGTTCTTCTGCATCCTCTAATCTGCTGCCCTTTTCCTCTAGAGTAATTTTTATTTCAGTTATTGAATGCTTCATCTCTGGTTCTTTTTTGTATTTCCTCTTTAAGTTCTTAGTGAGTTTATCTACTCTTTCTTTTTTAAGTAGACTCCAGGCCTGGCATGGAGCCCAACTCATGACCCTGAGATCAAGAACTGAGCTGAGATCAAGAGTTGGACGCTTAGCCAACTGAGCCACGTAGGCACCCCTATCCACTCTTTTCTCAAGTCTGGTGAGTATCTTTGTCATTACTTTGAATTTTTTTGTTGTTTTTGTTTTGAGAGAGAGAGCGAGAACAAGCAGTGGGGAGGGGCAGAGGGAGAGAGAGAGAGAGAGAGAAAGAGAAGCAGACTCCCTGCTGAGCAGGAAGCCCAATGCAGGGCTCGATCCCAGGACCCAGAGATCATGACCTGAGCCAAAGGCAGACACTTAGCTGACTGAGCCACCCAGGTGCCCCCATTACTTTGAATTTTTATTAGGCATAGCACTTCTCTGTTTCATTTAGCTCTTTTGCTGTGATTTTTCTTCTCTTTCATTTGGGACATATTCTTCTGTGTCCTCATTTTGTCTTAGTCTCTGAGTTTGTTTCTATGGATTAAGGAGGTCAGCTACATCTCCTGGTCTTGAAAGTTGTAGCCTTGTGTCCTGTGGTGTCCTGGAATGCAGTGCCCCCTGGGCATGAGAACCAGGTGCTCCAGGAGTGTCCCCATGGATGCACTACATGTGCTCTGCTGTGTGGCTGAGCTGTGTTTGCCTTCCCCTAGTCAGCAGCAGTGACCCACTTCGCCTGCTGCAGGCACATGGCACAGGGTTTGGTCCCTGGGCTGTTGAGGGGCCTGATACCAGTTTGGGGCTTGTAGGTGGATGGGATCAGCAGTCAGACTAGGTGTCTAATTCAGCCTTTCTGCTGTAGTTGTGGGCCCTCCGAAGGGCAGGGCTTTCTCCCTGTGGTCCACAGAGGCTTTCGCTGATGGGCAGGGCTGGCAGTCAGACTAAATTAATCTTTCTGTCACAGTTTTGGGTGCACCAAGCAGCGGGGCTTTTTCCCTGCACAGCCAGCTAAAAGGCTCTGCCTCTGGAACTGGGCGGGGGGGTGTCGGGGTATGGGGAGCAGGAGTCACTTTGGCATGGTGCCAGCCCCTGCCAGAGCTGCTTACAGGGTGTGCTGGGGCAGAAGCTGCTTTCGGCGGGGGACACCTGCTGCGGCAAGAGTGTTAGATGATGCAGGTTTGCAGGGGAATTTGGGGGTGGCACATGGGGGTGCTGGCAAAGTAGGTGGAGTGTTAGTGCTGGTTCTCACCGTATCCAGCTGTGTAGTCTCAGGGAGGGAGAGCCCCCAACAGCCCCAAGCCCTCCTACCTTGCCCTCCACTAAGGTGTGAGAAGGGGGCTGTGGAGGAAACACCACAGGAAGAGCCGACTCCACAGTTAGTGCTTAGGCCAGATTCCCCGTGAGGACATCTGAGCACCTCAAGCAGGAGCTAAAATGCAACTTCTGAAAAATGTTTGATTTTTTTAGGAGTGATTGACCTATTGATTGTCAGCTTCCCCTAGTATTTGCAGGTTTCTGTAATGTCCAGATAGGGCAAAGGAAGAACATTACTGAAGTTAAAAGACTTCTGCGGCAGGATTTGCAGAGAATAGGCGAAAAAGGCTACATGGCAAAAATTCCTTCTGGTTAGTTATCTTTGGGTGTATCTTCAGATGTTTTTTGATTCTCTGTATACTCTAATATTCTCACAATAAATGTATGTTGCTTTTGTATTAACAATCTGAGTGTACTGGGGCAGGCTCCTACGTGGTGCAGTCGGTTAAGCGTCTGACTTGGTTTCGGCTCAGGCCATGACCAGGGTCATGAGATGGAGCTCCGCATCGGGCTCTGCACTCAGCTCTGAGTCTGCCTGAGACTCACTCTCTCCCTCTGCCCCTCCCCTCCCCGCACTGTCTCTCTAAAATAAATATTTAAAATAATCTGAATGTACAGAAAATATAATTTGAGAAAATACTATTTTCAGCTTCAAGCTAAATACGTAAGAGTTGCTTTAGTGGGCACAAGGAAAGCTTTGAACTTGGTATCCACTGGCTGGCTGCGGCAGCTCTGGACTAATCCAGGCATGGTGGCAAAACAACAGAGAATCTTTGACTCCCACTCTCCTTAGGAATATACTTTCCAAGCTATATTTGACGAGGTCCTAATCAGATGTCCTTTTAACTTGCATACCAAAACTATTGGTCACATCATGAAGAGCTGCCTTATCTTAGGCATTTTGCTTTTCTCCCTCTTTTCTAACTTGAGGGAAACACCGTTTCTCAGATTACTACAAAAAGCCAACCTAAGTAGTAGTCTCTTCTTTTCACGCACACTCTGGATGTTTGGTTTTCACCTTTAACATAATATGCATTAGTTTTTTTTTTTTTAAGATTTATTTATTTATTTATTTGACAGAGAGAGAGAGAGATCACGAGGCTAGGAACACAAGCAGGCTTCCCCCCGAGCAGGGAGCCCAACGTGGGACCCGATCCTAGGACCCTGGGATCATGACCCAAGCTGAAGGCAGACGCTTAATGACTGAGCCATCTAGGCGCCCACATGCATTAGCTTTTTAAAAGACCTGTCCCACATCGAATTGCAAGAACTTGGGAAGCATCTTTTAATGTCGACATGAATTTGAAAGCATCTGTGGCTGCAGATGCTGATTTCTTTTTTTTTTTTTTGAGGGATGGGACAGTTTAATTTAGAAATAAGCTTCGGATAGCCTCCTGATCAGAAGGGAGCCTAAGGGCCCACCCTGGGGGAGAGAGGCCATCGTGGAGGGTAAGGCCCCCAGGTGGAGGGAGACCAGCATGGGAGCTGGTACCACGAGTGCCACGACACTGGTCCTGTGCTCAGCAGGTACTGGCAGAGCCTGGAGTGATGAGCGGAATGGCCTTCTCAGGCATGGGGCTGTGCTTGATTGGACTTGCAGTTGCATCTTCCACTCAGGGCTATCAAGATTCCAGCGATGCACAGGAGCCCTCCGAAAATCATCCCGCCCAGCTGCAGGCTTTCCCAGTCGTGGTAGAAGGGACTGTCTTTATCAACCAGGTCATTGGCTTCCAAGGTAGGCCTGCCAGTGTGAGGAGAAAGCCTCGGGTCACTGTCTTCATGGTACAGCTGCAGAGCAGGGCTGAGAGCCAGGTGCAGATCTGGAGAGGCTGCTGGGGCTGGGCCGCGGACGTTGATTTCTGAAAGTGTGTGCGCCTTCAACCCTAGCTGGGTCTGAACCGCCGAGAACAGAGCTGACTCTGGTAGAGGTCTGCCAGACACCAACTCTGGGACCACAAAGCAATGGCAGCGTCCCCAGGGAGACACTCTCCCCGTTTTAATTCTGGACAGAGTTGGGCCTGGGTTGACACGATCACCTGCAGTGTTCTTTCAGGAACAGAGATGCCCAGCTGAGTTGGCTGAAGGGCTCTCTGCTGGGCTGTGGAGACCTACAGTCTGTGGCTGCAGAGACCACAGGTGGAAGGAGGCAGCCTCCCAAGCCTTTGCTGGCTACCCTAGGGCTGTTTATGACTCTGATATTTAAGAAAGGCCACCCAAAGATATCTTCTTGAAAGAAATGTTTATTATTTTTATCGGTCAAACAGTTTCAAACAAATTCAGAACAAGTTTTCACATTTTGAGCCTTTAGTGCAAAGACGCTATGTCATGCGTGAAAGAAATGCTGATCCAGTGGCGCCCTCCCCTGAAGCAAGTAAATATTGGGATGATCAGGTGGAAGGAGACTTATGTGACAGAAATCTGCTCAGAAATCCTCTTGAAAAAGGACATGATTTAAAGCTCATTTGAAGGTTTTTCACAACATAAATGTGCTTAAACAACTTGTAATCTCAACTTCTTAATTTCAAAACAATACCCCAAGTATCAACTATCCCTTTTAAATAAAAAAAATAATCAATTTATACTCTTCTTAAAAGAACTCTAACAATGTAAAATAAGTTCCAATTCCATATATATATATATGTACATTTATAACTTAGGTGCTCTTTTGCTCTATATACTTTTACTCATGCAACAGTGACAGACGACTGGATGTGAGGCCCTACAGAGGCCTCTCTGAGAAAGCAGTGTAGCTTCTCACTCTGGCGAAGAACAAAGGGGTGTACATCTTGTCAATCTCAAAAGCAGTAACTGCAGTCTCACCAGTTGATCTGGAAAGAAAGCACAAAATTACCGGTTACAAGGACATTTCAACTCATTTAAAATCCTTACATATTTAGAGGGGAGGGTTTATCTTACACTTTAGTCTTTTTTATTTTTGAATTCATCTCCGTAAATTCAAAATGATAGAGGCATGATAAGAGAAAACCACAGGCCCAGAATAGTGTCACTTACACCGAATTCCCAAACCAGGGCCTAAGACCTAATCTAAATGCAGTTTCAAGTCAGAAATCTTCTGATGGGCCCTCTCCACCCCCCAAAGGAAGATGAGGTAGCCTGCATGGTATGACTCCTGCTCTTCCCTCTCAGGGAAAGCAGCACTTCCTGGAACAACCCTTCCTGCCCCTACCCTCCTGCTATAAAAACCTTCCATTTTGTTCAACTCCTCTGAGCTCCCCTCTACCCGTTAGATGGGATGCTGCCCAATTCAGGACTTGTTTACTAAAGCCAGTTAGACAATTAAAATTTACTTGGTTGAATTTTTGTCATTTAACAGATTTGGTGGCAGCAAAAGGATCCAAAGGGAACTTCCGGCAGCATCTGGGGCGATGAGAACATAGGCGTGGTCCCTGTGAACCTTCTGAGCTCACTGTCTTTCTCACCATCTCGAGGGCCGTGGGTAAGTTCCTCTCAGTTATGAGTTTTTTGTCGTCGCTGACGTTCAAGCTCCCCATCTAAATGGCGTTCCCGTACAGGGCAGGACGGCTTGAGCCATGCGCTGCGGGAATTGGTGATGGTGTGCACAGGGCCCTCCTATGGCCAAGATGCAATGCTGCCAAAACACCCAAGGGCACAGGTCTGTCTGTCTGGTTTTGTGTAAAGCCTGTCGCTAGTGGGGATCTTGGAGACCAAAAAGCTGCAAGAATTGGTGGGGATGGGTCGAGCATTTAAAGGCTGTTAGAAGTGCTCACCACCTCAGGAAGACTCCTGGGATGGGATAAGTTAGTTGTGAAATAGGTTAGCCTGGCACTAGGTCACCCACCAATCTCAAGAAACTTTCCAGGCACCGAGGTACACTGTAAAACACACTCAATCCCCAGCCCCATGGCACATCCCTTTCAGGTATTCATTCAGCTCAGAAGATCCCTAAATTCTGAAGGGTCAAGCATGCCACCTTCTGGCACACCTGCTTATTTCATGTCTAAGAACTACTACAGTCCCAGAAGTTTTAGGTATCTAGCAAAAACGACAAAATCTTCCTAAGCTTGTTTTGTGTCCTGAGGCACTTAGCTTGGTAACCACCAGGCTGGGTGCCCCAAAAGAAGGCTGATGTGGGTTAACTCTGTGACTAGGGACCTACCGACGTGCTGCCAGCCCTCAGAGGAATCACGACCTAGAAATACAGTGGCCATTATGGGGAACGTTCCAGTTAGATAAGATCATTTAAGAAGTAGACCTGAAAGCACGAGTTCCCAAATTAAACAGAATGGGATACCCATTTCATTTGGCATGCAGATGCCTCCAAAAGGTTTCAAAGTTCCAAAACCGTTTCATTGAAAGATTTTATTGCAATAGGAAAAATTAAAAAGAGAAAAAGGTAGGTGCCTAAAACAAGACTGTAAGACTGGGTACTCCTTCTCATCTGAATTTTAAAAGACTACCTAAACATCAGCCAAATTCTGCCAAGTTAATGGCCGTACAGACACCCTGTTCTCTACCTTCTAAGCAGGGCCCTCCCATGAGCCCCTCCCAGAGTCAACGAAGCTGAGGGATTTTCTGATAAACTGCTACATCATTCCTTAGACAGTCAAGGGGAAACTGGCAGATACCAGATTGTGCCCAGGGGATCCTGGAAAAACTGGCAGAAGCCAGCAAAAGGTGAAAATTCTTACCAGAGTCCGCGCTTCCAAATCCCTGCCTGCCCAGTCACACAGAAAATAAAATCACACTGTCCTTCCCTTCTAAATCCAGACCCACTGGTTACTGATCCCTTCTCTCCCAGGGACACCTACTGCCTTCCTGCTCCTCTGGTTTGGCATTGCTGGGCTTGGCTTTCTGCCTGCTTGGGACATGCAGGTTGTTGGTTCTTTCTTTTGGCCATCATTGTGAGTGATTCTAGATTTGGGGAAGTTGATATCCTCCATACCATCCTTGCTGATCCATCTTTCACCCAACAGAAGCAATTCAATACTGCCACAAATACGTAAAGTTAGAATGATGTACTCAGAGGGGGAAAGAAGCAAACTGAGGATACGAGAGTTGGATAGGGGGAGAACCTCTGATGCCATTTAAGTTACAGTCCAATTCTTTGGATTGAACTGAAAGCAATGGTCCTTATGTTACACATCTTTGCAAAACCACAAACGCAGCTCTATAGGCAACAAAGTTCCCCTATTCCTTTACCAATCCCCTAATGTCCCGTTTATCTCCGACAGCTTGTACATTATTGGCCTTAGGAAACCAAGTTTCTTCTAGAAGGAGCTTGCATTTTTCCCTGTGCTTTTTAAATCTAAATGTTCAATGTTCTACCTGGTCTTCTCCAGGAATTCCTCAGTTCATCTCTTTAAAATGCAAACTTAAGGAGATGATTCTTACCAAGAAAAAACAAAATGGGCAAAGTCATTTGAAACTTGACTTGCCAAGGGCAAATACAAACCTTAAGTGTCTTCTCTAAAGATGTTTATAAAGAAAAGCTTTACCCATGTAGCCAGGTAACCTCAACATATTCAATCTACCAGAAAAACAAACTCACATCTGACTTTGATAAATCCTGTATTTATTTTAGGGCAGGATTTTCAAAATCAGCTATAAGGTCTCTGAGTCAGTCTGTTCGCATGTGTCTATACATGTGTGTTATAGTTATGTGGTACTTCCCACCTCTGATGGTATCGCCAAAATGAATTTGTAGAAGAGCTCTATTTAGTGGGTTTGAAGGCAAGTGCCTATAAGGATGGGCATTCTGAAAATCATATAGTCAGAGACTAACCCAAATGTTTAAGTGCATGTGACCCAGGAAAATATTGATATAAAAGCTAGATAACGGTTAATGGTTTAATTAAAAGACATGTTTTTAGTTATCAATATTAAATATTAAACTTATTCTACCTGAGTTTACTAGGTAAATTCATATTCTCTCTTCTAAGATGTGGCCACACAAAACAAAGTGTTTGTAGGTAAACATAATTCAGGACAAATAAAGCTAAGCAGGACAAAAGTTTATAAATGAGCTTTTCAGCAATATTTGTCTACTTAGTTTTCCCAAGCTTTTTTTTTTTGATAACCTAAAACCTTAAACTAAGTTAAATGATGAATTAAGTTAAACTCATTAAATACCTAGATCATTTCCAAATAAGATAAAGTACTAAAGCATTAATTAGTAAACACAGATTTATCTACTTTTGTCTTCATATTACAGAGAAACTAATATTTAAACATGCTAATGATACACTGAAACACGTAAAACAGCACATGCTCTAGAAATTTTAAAATGTATTCATAAATATGCCAATTTAAAAAAAATGCTAGTGTAACAGTTCAAAATTGCTCACTTATTAGTTTTCACTAGAAATTAAGGTTTTTAAGGGTTAAGAATTCTAATTAATATCTTTGTATGCCAGGAAAGCAGGATGTGTTTTTCATAAAATAAGGTATGAGAAATAGAGAGTAAGTTTGTCCTAAAACGAAGCTGGTTGTTTAAAGAAAAAAAAAAAAAAAAAAAAAGACAAAATCGGGATGTAAAGAGGTTGTAAAAGGTTTGTAGAAAACAAATATTTGCAAAGGAATTTTAATGTGTGGTCAAGCAGGTTAAGATTAAAATATATTTTAAAAAATGAGTTTTAATATCAAAGTAAGATGGTGCAAAATTATTTAGTTTTCTGTCAAAAAACAGTTTTCTTGGACTTTGGTCTGCTTTCAATCTGTAATCCTACTTACAAGGCAAGTGCTTTAAAACCTTTTTTAAACAATTGTGACAAACTTCCAAAGGACCTGTTAAACTAATGAGGCTTCTTTGCTGTAAGTGAATACCTAACCCTCTGTGTAGCAAAATGGGTCCACAAACATGGCCCCTCATCACCAGACTTGCCACCCTGACGTCCCTGTAACATGGCAACAGCCTGCTTCCAAACTGAAGACACTGAAATGAGTGAGCACTGACTGCAAATTGAACACACACTTATAGAAACCTAGATGGCCCGGTTCTTCCTGGCTCCCTGGCAAATCCCACATTTTAATTTTTGCATTCCTTCACCCACCACAGCACAATGACGAAGACTCAAATTATAAACAGACATTGATAGACTTCTATAAAATTACAAAAACAGTCTACCAGCAATGCCTGACCTGTTTGGTCACTACCACTCCCCATACTGCACCCCCACCCCCATAACTTATTTTTGTTCCAAGAGACCTCAAACCTCTGCCCTCTGGATCCTTCAAACACTTGTAGCTGGACTTCATTCAACTGCCACTGAGTATGAGTATAGCTCATACTCATAAATATTGCTGAAAAGCTCATTTATAAGCTTTTGTCTTGCTTAGCTTTATTTGTCCTGAATTACGTTTACCTACAAACACTTTATTAAACATTAGACAGTCAGCCATTATCCTAAGCTATTATGAGTGATCAACAGGTTCTTGTTCTTGTATGTGTGATTTCTAGATGGGTCGAGATTTCCCCTGCTGTAAGACTGATGCCTTCACAGGAAAAACCAACCAAAACAAACCAACTTAAAAATGTGTTCCCCACTTGGGGTATACTTTCCACTCTCTCCAGTGATCAAGGCATCCATTTCACTGGACAAATCACATGTGCCTTGACGAAAACCTTACGAACTTCTTGGAATTCTATCAGGACACAACCTTCTGGTCCCTTGTTGTCTCCCGCTCGTATGACCAGCTACTGTAAGTCTCCACTGTCTTATGCTCAAGCCTGTCACCCATCGATTCACGAAGCTTTCCTGGATCCCAATTCAAAGAAACCTGTTCATCACAGCCTAGAGTTTGGTGACTATATGAGCGTTGCCAGAGGAAAACCACTCTCCAGCCGCACTGGAAAAGGACCTTCCCAGGCGCTCCTGACCACGGACACTGCTGCAGAACTATGAAGTATTAAGCCTTGGGTACACATCACAGAGATAAGGCTCCACCCACCACCCGGTCCTGTACAGATGCTGGAGACCTCCACATCAAAGTGATGAGGAAGACGAGTAGCAGACATCGAGGTAGTCTGCTTCCACCCCAGATGACGGATGGAGACTCCATACACTAAACGTAAACCCTTTTCTCCTCTTTTCCTTTACTTCACTCTGGCGTTGGCCTGGAAAGATAACACCGTCATCTGTATCTCCCAGGCCACCGTGAAGGGGGTGGGTGTGGGAGGGGTATAACCTCTGGAATTTAAAACAATCTTTTATTTCAGGCTAGGAGAAAATCTAACTGTGCCTCTAACTTTTCACAAGCAAAATAGAAGATCTCATTGGCTGAATCTCCTAAATTTACATTGTTGAATTTAAAAAGAGACATTCACGATTCAGATTCACTCCTTTACAGAGGTCCCGATTTCCTTGGTTAGGGATACATATAAATGAGGCTATGATCAATTCTCAAAATTATTGCAAAATCTGCTGCTAAAGCAAAAGCAGCACCACAAAGATCCTTGGACTCTCTAGCCAAAGTTGTCCTTGATTATCTTTTAGCTGAGCAAGGGGGTGGGTATCTGTGTTGCGGCCAATACCACCTACTGTGCCTGGACTAACACTGATGGGGAAGTTAAAAATTGTGTAAGATCACTGAGCAAGGCACTGGGCTTAAAAAGATGACTCCTGCAGTAGGGCCTTTCTATGGTTTGGTTGGGTCTTGGGGACCATGGCTCTAAGTACACTCCAACTATTGGAAATTGTCCTAACAGTAAGAATAATACTAAGAATAATAATAACCTATAGTAATAGTAATCTCTTTGGTGCATTATATTCTCTCAAAAGCTTTAAATGTATGTTTACAGCCACTCATCACCAAGCAAATGATCTAAGACTGGAACATGAACCTGAAGCTGTGACCTACCAATATCACAGATGAAGGAAAAGCATCGTGACCTATGGGTACCACACAAAGGATCAACATAAGCTGTGAGAACTACAAAAGGGTAATTGAGAGTTGGTGCTCATGCCTTAAATTTTGATCACATCTCTCAGTTAAGCTGACAATCTGATCAAAAGGGGGAACTGTTAAAAAGAAAACCACAGGCCCCAAAATGGCATCACTCAGGATGGGTTCCCAAAGCGGGGCTTAATATATAATTTAATTGCAGTTTCAGCCTCCCCCAGAAATGCAGTCTAAACTGGTCAGTCAGGGGCGCCTGGGTGGCTCAGTTGGTTAAGCGGCTGCCTTCAGCTCAGGTCATGATCCCAGGATCCTGGGATCGAGTCCCGCATCGGACTCCCTGCTCAGTGGAGAGCCTGCCTCTCTGCCTACTTGTGCTCTCTGTCAAATAAATAAACTGCTCAGAAATTTATTGATGGGAGCCCATGAGTCTGCCACATGGACCCTCTCCATTCCCCAAAGGAAAATGAGGAGTTTGCATAAGACCCTCTGCTTTTCCCTTTAAGAGAAAATGTCCTTGCCTGAAGCAATCTTTTTCTTTTGCTAATAACCTTCCTGCCCTGCTCTCCTTCTATAAAAACCTTCCATTTTATACAACTCCTCAAGGCTCCCCATTCACAAATCATTTAATAGAGCCAATTAGATCTTTAAAAATTTCCTTGGTAAAATTTTTATCTAACAGGCATATTGTAAAAAATTTGAAAAACTGAGAAAAGTACAAAGAAAAAAATCACTCATCATTCCATCATCTAATATAACAATATGAGGTACAGTTGACCCTTGAACAACATAGGGGTTGGGGTGTCAAAAATCCACATATAACTTTTGAGTCCCCAGAAACATAACTACTACTAACCTGTTGACCGGAAGTCTTACCAATTACAAAACCAATTAACACATATTTTGTATGTTACATGTATGTTGTACTGTATTCTTACAGTAAAGTAAGCTAGAGGAGAAACAAAGTTATTAAGAAAAGTACAAGAAAAATACATTTACAGTACTGTATTTATAAAAAAAAATCCACATTATAAGTGGATGCATGCAGCTCAAACCTGTGCTGTTCAAGGGTCAACTACACCTTCTTCCAAGCACCTCAACCTGTCTATCGAGCTTTTCTATTGAGATTATAATACTATCAGTAATCCTGCTTTTCATTTAGCATTCTGACATATGCATTTCCTCACATTATTAAATACTCTTCAGAAGCCATTACATATTTCACTGTCTGCCTGTACCACAATTTCCTTAATAATCTCCCCCTTTTTTAAAGATTTTATTTATTTGAGAGAGAGAGAGAGCACAAGTGGGAGGAGGGGCAGAGGGAGAGAGAGAAGCAGACTCCCCACTGAACGAGGAGCCTGATGCGGGGCTCAATCCAGGACACTGGGATCATGACCTGAGCTAAAGGCAGATACTTAACCGACTGAGCCACCCAGGTGCCCCAATAATTCCCTTTCTGTTGGAGATTTACGTTGTTTTCTTTGTTTGGTAATTAAAAATGTGATAAGCTGCTCAGAGAGGATTCTGCTTGTCCCTCTCCCTCTGCCCACCTCTTGCTCTCTCTCTCCCTGTCTCTCTCAAATATATAAAATCTTTAAAAAAAAAAAAGTGGTATTTTTGATTATGTCCTTTGAACAGATTCCTTAGAAATTCTAAGTAAAAGGCTACAGATTTTTTTTTTTAAGATTTTATTTATTTGACAGAGAGAGAGATAGTGAGAGCAGGAACACAAGCAGGGGGAGTGGGAGAGGGAGAAGCAGGCTTCCCGCGGAGCAGGGAGCCCGATGTGGGACTCGATCCCAGGACCCTGGGATCATGACCTAAGCCAAAGGCAGACGCTTAATGACTGAGCCACCCAGGCGCCCAAGGCTACAGATATTTTAAGGATCTTGTTAAAATGTAATTTAAGAGAAATTATAATCCTAGAATAGAATTTAGTGACTTAATATTTGCATGATCAACAGCATCATCCCAGTGGGGAGGGAAGGGAAGCTGATGAAAAGTAATACTACTACAGTCTTTTAGTTTTGTCCCCCAAAGGGATAAATAAAGGGATAAATCAAGCGACTTTATACATACAGTAAGGAAGTCAATGTGACCATTAGCAGTTACAAATGACACCTATAATAATGTCCTTCCTCCTCCTAAAATATGATGCTTTCTATTTATTTGGTACTACACTGAGTTTGGTTTTTTTCTATGAGAAGAAAATAGAACATTCCACTGCACAGTTTACTGAGAGAATCAAAAAGGAGATACAGGACTGCTAGGTAAGAATGAAAAGAAAGAAAAATGCTGAGAATCTCAGTTCTCAGGACCTTTCACACGAGTGGGGAAAGCATGGAAACAGGCCACAGATGGTTTTCAACCCTGTGGTCAAGGCTGTGAAATAGGTTAATAGAAGGTGATCTCAAGGGCGCCTGGGTGGCTCAGTCAGTTAAGCGACTGCCTTTGGCTCAGGTCATGATCCTGGAGTCCCGGGATCGAGTCCCACATCAGGCTCCCTGCTCTGCGGGGAGCCTGCTTCTCCCTCTCCCCCTCCCCCTGCTTGTGTTCCCTCTCTTGCTGTGTCTCTCTCTGTCAAATAAATAAATAAAATCTTAAAAAAAAAAATCGGTCTCTCAGAATTTTGGATTTTATTTTGGAACCAAGAGGCATCGACCACACACCAATATTCTTTCAAACCTAAAAACAGCAAACCTCACTATCCACACACATTGATGTTTCACCTACTTCTGTACTGTTCCTTTCTCACACGCATTCTTCTGTTCCTTAATTACTCCTTACAGGTAAATCCTAACACAAACAGCTTTAAATAGGAACCACCTAATAGATGTATTAAAATCGGTGTATAATCCTGGAGGATAAACCAACCAGAAGTAAAAAAAAAAAAAAAAAAAAAAAAAAATGGTAAGAGGTGAAACACAGGAGAAGAAAAAAGATTTGATGTTTTAAAAGTGACTTAAGTCGGGGCGCCTGGGTGGCTCAGTTGGTTAAGCGACTGCCTTCGTCTCAGGTCATGATCCTGGAGTCCCGGGATCGAGTCCCGCATCAGACTCCCTGCTTGGGAGGGAGTCTGCTTCTCCCTCTGATCCTCCCCCTCTCAGGCTCTCTGTCTCCCATTCTCTCTCTCAGATAAATAAATAAAAAATCTTTAAAAAAAAAATAAAATAAAAGTGACTTAAGTCAATGAGTAGATAATGCACAGACAGCTTAGAGGTGACTGAGTACCATTCTAATTCCAAAGTGGTGGCCCCCATTCCCATGCCTATTCCCACGGGCACTGGGGAGAGCACCACCTCCTGGTCCACTCCTTTGCATACCTGACAGAATCATACTGAAAAGATGGTCATTAAAAAAAAAAAAGAAAAGAAAAGATGGTCATTGGCCAGGGACCTCTCCCTGGCCACAGCTCTCTGAGCACAGCAAACTCTGGAGGCATTTGCAGGAGACGTGTGATACTTTGTAATGTAACATCCTGGAACATAAGGTGGTTTTATAATGTAACATTAACTCTGAGGACTTTAAAATCTATCAGAGAGTTTCCTAAGCCTGATATGAAGTACACATTTATTCTGCAACTTTGGCATCTGTATTACATTCACCTACTTGTAAGTAATGTGACAAGAATGATGTATCCAGATGAGTTTGTTGAACCTCTGGTGGCCACTGGAACACAGCTGGAGCCCCACATGAAAACTCTGATCTGCTTCTTGCACAGGGACGCGACGGAAATATCTGTATTTGTAGTCAAGTGGCTTCTGTAAAAGAAAAGGTGTGTGAGCTATCATGAAACCTCCCCTCACTGATACATATAAATATTACAGGAATCTATTATGCAAGAGTGACACAAAAAGTAACAATCTCTGCACACAGTAGAGGGGTCTTGGGTATCAAATGAGAAGGTGGATAAGTGCCCTGAAAAATGTTAAGCATTCCAAAACTGTTTTCTCTCCATCATCGGCTCAGTTAATCAACACAATCACCCCCAGTGTTAAATATGATTGTACATTGCTGTTTAACGGCTGAAAGAATGAAGACCCCAGGAGGTCAAACGAGTTAACCAAAATTACACAGCAGCTGCAGAGTTGGAAATGAAAACTTCTGTCTTCTCCATGTAAGCCTAGTATTTCCTTCCACTGAAAATATGGGAATTTTTACAGAGGCAAAGTGATAAATTGGTGAAAGATGCAGAAGAAGCATGGAGTAGAATTTATCTTTTGCGGTAACAGTAAAAAGAGTCAATGAAGAAACAGATGTGGACAAGGTTCATTAGAATCACACTTCTGCAAATACTGTTGCTAACAACACAAGAATGTCAACACTATGCATGGTTTCACTGTATCATATTCTGAAGAGAAAACTGGTACTCAACACAGGAGTTCCTATACTCTTTTATAAGGTAAGACCTAAACAAGGGCCCATAACTCCCTAATTCTGACCTCAGGAAACTCATGGCCAAGGCCACAGCCATCGCAGCTACCTCTGCCCTTCAGACGGCTGCCCCAGAACCCTGGAGCCTACCTGAGGCAGGCAGAGAAGCCGGCAACTGGTGGCCACAAGGTGAAGGGACGCCGATGAAACCCTGCCCTAACTAACACATGATGCCAGGGAAGACAGGAGGATCTGATAGAAGGAAAACTTCTAAAAACAATTATAAAAGCATTAGGCAAGTATTTATTCCAACTACATCACAACTGACTCTTTGGGTATCCATTTTTAAAACCAGGATTGAAAAACGCATACAAAGGAAAGTTATGAAAAAAATTAGGCCCTCAATGTGTTAAGAGTTAAAAATACTGGAATGCAATAATTCAACAATATTTGCTTGGCATTTTTTTCCCTTTTGTAAGAACAGGAAGAAGGAAATTATCTTACTTTTTAGCTTATTTCCAGTAGAAACTGAAATTCTCTGTAAGAACACCCTTGATAAAAAAATTATCTATATGAGCTAACTTAGGAAGGAAATCCCTTATGATTCAAAACAAGAATAGCTAAAAAAACATATTCAGGTATAATTTCACTAGTTATTTCATAGCACATTTTGGCTTTACATTTTCCAATGTGAAAGACCTGGACCAGAAAAGGAAATCATTTAGAGAAAAACAAGCTGATCCAATTAAAAAAAACTCCACATTTTAGAAAACCCTCTAGCTCTCTTCAGGGAGATGCTATAAGTCAATATACATTTTGTGTAACAGTATATTTTATGAAACAGTATTTTCTTACCCTTTCTAATCAAGAATGCTTAAATGAGTAGGGTACTGAAATAAACAGAGAACCTTTAATTCCACTCACTCACCTCTTCTTTTTTCTTAGTTATCACAGCAAATACTTTGGTCTGATTGTCTGTATCTTGTGACAAGCGATAATGACCCAACAGAATTGCATCAGTTCTAAAAATTAAAAAATACAATTTAAGTCCAAGTCTATTAACCAGTTGTTACATGTATTTAAATAACCTAGGAAGTAATGGGTTCTAATAGTGGTTACTCAACTTGCCTGAGAACAATCAGCTAGGATGTGAGTAAACCTAATTTGCTAAGGCTCCCAAGACCTACTGAAACATACTCCCCAGGCAGAGAGGCCCAGGCACTGGTATTTTTCACAAGGGCCGCTGTTGAGTGCTGTTTTTATCAGCCAGTACTAAGTTAAGGAAGCACTGGATTACATTAACCTGCAAGTAACCATATGAAATGTGACCTGGATAGAAAACTATAGAAAAATACTACCTGGTATTCCTAGTTCTTAAACGAGGAACAATGGACTGAGGCTCCTCAGGGGTTGTCAACACCATCACATGGCCATCAGGGAAGAATCTTATGTACCTGTGTAAAAAGAAAAGAACACCAAAAAACACCACACACACACAAAGTATAAAACATGTCCTTATTTCCTGGGACCTAAACCTGTTCATTGCTGTGAAATCAAATCAGAAATACCACGGGCCAAAAAATCGGCAAAGCATCATTAAAACAAACACGACTGGCAACCTGTGAGGCCAGCGAAAAAGAAGTGAAGACAGTCTTACGTTTCCTAGAGGGAGCTTGTCAAACTTTCAGTTTTACTCCTGAATAAAAATAAATATACCTCCGTTAAAGCTGTGTGTTTTTTCCTAAAGCACTAATTAAGGTCAAGAGTGAGATCTAATGATCATACACAGTTCACATGTCTCATTTCTCAAGGCCAGTAACATCTGATGGCCATTAAGGCTGAAATGTAGAGCACGAGCTAATTGAAAAGGCAAATGAGTCCCACCAAAAGCAAAAAAACAAGGAGGAGCTCTAAAATGTAAAGTGATTCTTAGATTTAAAGGCTAGGAGGAATTAAATAATTTGTATTAACCTCCTGGTTCTCTGAGTGCAGTTCCTGTTACAAAACTGGATAAAAATACTGAGGTCATCATGTGGATAAATGCAAAAGCCACAAAGAACAGTTGCCCAGTAACCAATGAACTAATACTTGGAGAGAGAGAATTTTTCACTCACTCAGTTTACTACAGTTGTACCTGTAATATTCCACTTGGTGCCAGGCTCTATAGAAACCATCAAGAGACTGTTCCCCTTGACGAATGTATGTCGTTTTACTGATATACACTCCTATTTAAAAAAAAAAAAAAGTTTTGGGTTTTTTTTTAAGTAGGAACATAAATGAAACTTTTACAATCACCTAACATGTT